AAAAAAAATTACCTTTATTCCTCTGTAGAGAAATTCATGATCCTTTGTGAAATTCTTCAAGCCAACAAATTGATCAGAGTTGCTCAGTTGACACTTGAATTTGTTCCTATTTTTTTCTTTGAATCCAAAGTTATACGACAGACAGCCAGTCTCTTCCACACATTGCAGTCGACAAGAACCCTCCGACTCTACCTCTATTTCTCTAATAACGCTTCCATTGAGTCTTCGTTCTCTTATTTCTTTAGCAAAGTTAACAGCTTTGAAGTTTGGAGTTATCATTTTTGTTAATCCGTTTGTAGAAGTAATGATTACATAGGCTAGAAGCCACTGTAGATACATGTCCTGCTCTTAGGTTTTGCTTTGATAGGGATCTTATGCATTTGGTGACTAGAGCTGGACATAACTCTGTGACTAGCATTAATTATTGATTATAGTTATTAACTTAGAGTTGTCATAAGGTGATCTGAATTTTGTTATGACAATTTTTTAATTTGTATATTTTCGAAGGTGTTAACTTTCAAACGCTTTGCATGGCAATCAGTGGGGGATTGAAAGTTACTCAGACGAATTAAAATCACAAATTAAAAACATCGTCGTATCCAGATCTAGATCTTCATATGAAAACATTAAAAGCTTGGCCTGGTCCAGTTCCCATAACAGTCAGTTTCCATAGAAATAAGCATCATTAATCCTCTTGATAAGAGACCTTTCTAAATGATGTTATTTTTAATACAGAAAATTTAAAACGGAATTTCTTTGCGTTTGTGAATAATAATAATAATAATAATAATAATAATAATGATGATGATGATGATGATGATAATTATAATAATAGTTCATTTATATAGCCTACACATCCATTATTTTCCCGAGACGCTTTACAAAACTATCCATCAAAACTACAATTTTACTCTAAGAAACTTTGAAAATTAAAAAAAAAAGAAAAAGAAAAAAGAACTAGGAAAATACCTAAAAATATGATAAAGAGTTACTCTTAATAAATTTAGTAAAACGGAAGGTCTTGAGTTTTTTCTTAAATAATAAAACTGCACTGGATCGACGTATTTCCAAAGGAAAATTGTTCGAAATACTATATACGAAGTGTCACTAAGCGGTAAAGGCCAGCCTTACGTTTACTGTTGATCTAAAATATTGGGTGGATCAACTTAAGCACTTTTCGGATGTCAGCGTTAAATAATTGGTCTCTTGTCAAGTCAGAGTTGATTTACTCTTGACTAAATCCAAAGATTTGGACTCCATTTTTAACTTTCATCTCTGTGCGTTTTAGTAATATGGTGATAGGTCACCATACTCGTTTGC